GTAGTGTTAGTGGTAGGGGTAGTGGTAGTGGTAGTGGTTGCTGTCGTAGCAGCAGTAGTAGTAGTAGTAGTAGTAGTAGTAGCAGTAGCAGTAGTAGTAGTAGTAGTAGTAGTAGTAAAAATAGTATTAGTAGTAGTGGTAGTAGTAGTCGTAGTAGTAGTAGGAGTAGTCGTCGTCTAGACTACAATTACGACTACTGCTACGCTACCACTACCATTACCACTACGATTACTACTACTACTACTACTACTACTACTACTCCTGCTGCTGCTGCTACTACTACTACTACGACGACGACGACGCCGGCGACGACGACGCCGGCGACGACGACGACGACGACGCCTACTTCAACTAGAGCGACGACGACGACTTCCTACTTCTACTGCTACTACCACTACTACTTCTACTGCTACGTGTGCTAGGTGGTTGGCCAGGGACTGCGACTCGCTGCGACCATTATTGATGAAGCTGCTCAACACACTGCGGCTATCACCGCGTGCTGGCAGTGTTTTTTTGCTCCAGCTCTGGTGTTTTGTTCACTTGCTGCTGCTCCGCTCTAGAATCTCTAGAAATCAAGGCTCTTGCCCATTTCCCATGATCTTCTTACCTTTCGGGGTGGTCCTCCCATGAGCAAGTTGATCATTGCTTGCACAACGTACGCCTAGTTGTCAAGGTTCTGTCCCAACTGCATCCCAAAACTCATCGCACCGCGCGCTTCGAAAAACTTCTCCAGAAGAGGACGCTTCATGTAAACAAGTAGCCACGACAGAGTATGAACGCAAAGGCTGTGCTACTTCCTGTACGTGATCAACTTGAACCCGCGGCCGAGTGAATGGAGCTTCGTCCTGGCGACCTTGGTCATGTGAGCCCGGGGACATTGACTTAGAAACTTGAAGAGTTACCGACATTCTTCCTGAGAGCTCCTTACCCAAATAGCTAGTAGAGTGTATAAAGAACCCTCTTCTAGTCACGTATGACAAGCATGGCCTAGAATAACCCCCCAGCACAGCCCTCTTCTACTGATTAAATCCGATCAAGAAACCCGAGGCTTTTCTGGGTTCTTGTCAAAGAATTTAATTTAAGGTACCATACTAGAGATCTGCAACAAACAATATGATCATTTGGTTTCCTTAATATGGTAACTTGTATTAATCGCTTCACAAGAACTCTAAACCCTAAACCCTAAACCCTAAACCCTAAACCCTAAACCCTAAACCCATGTTCAAACCTTCCTAGGCCCTAGGCCTTCAGGATCCTTTGCTTCGGGGTTTGGGGCAGCGTTGTGAGGCTTGAGGAATTCCGAAGCGTTCTCAATCATGTGTAATATACAGTATATGTAGAGGCTAGAGTACATAATACCGAACATAACATAGAATGTATGTTTGTTAGTATGGAATTATGATATAGGAAGAACAATATATGAGATATGATGTGTATACATACATACATATATATATATATATATCACTGTGTCCAGGTACATCCAGTTCACGGCGATCTCAACTCGAATGGTAGAGCTTACGATCGAGCGGGCCCAGTTCAGCTTCTCGTTTGTGATTGATTTTCTGGATTCCCACGCTTGAAGGCCACATCGTCCGGATTCTTACGAGCATCATCCATGGTTTCATTCCGGGGGCTCCAGATCGCCTGTGACTTTCTGGGGGTGGTCGTTGCACCGGTCTCCTTCCCCCCAGGCTGTTCAAGCATGTTTAAAGCAGTCAAGTAGAGGCGGCGAAGAGTTGTTGCGGTTCTGCTGGTAGTGGTTCTTGCTGGGCTTGCTGACATTCTACCTACCAATTTTTGTAGAGGTGCTGGTGCGGTTCGTACTGTTGTAATTCCTGAGGAGTTTCTCGTAGTATTGCCGCTCGGCTTGGTTGCCGCTGTTCATGTTTGGAGTCTTCTGTTCGTTGACAAGTTTGTGGCATGCCGTTGCCTTAGTGTCCTGACCAAACCCTTGGCAAAACTGGTAGCGCCCTTGCAGAAACCCAGAAAGCTTCAAGTTTCAGGGACAGGCTGCTTCTTGGGAGAGAGGCTTTATAAGAAAAGAGCCGAGCAGCAGCTCCTTAACGGTCCTAAACCCTATACGCCACAAGGCCTCATAATGCATGTATTGGGAAGCTTATACTAATGCCCTAAGGCGATAAGAACCCGAAGGCAGGTCCTAAACCCTATAAGTGGGCCCGTCGTCCTGAAGCCTTGCTTGCCTCATGCGAGTTGCGAGAGTCGAAGCCCCAAAAATACAACTCTAGAAAACCGGTGTGGCTGCTGCAAGCAAAGCGGCTGTGCCCCGGGCAAATCCACGGAGTCCCGAAGCAAAAAGCAAAACCGCTTCTAAGGCTGCTCCTGCTTCTATGGTCTGCTCATCCTCTGCTACCTGGAGCTGCCCTTCATCGAGGAGGCCTACATCGACTCCAAGGCCTTCGACATCAACCTGACGCTCGGAGCTGCGGTTTAGGACCTTTTGGAGTTTAGGTGTTAGGACCTTCAGGCCCTTCAGGGGCATATGTAGGGCTTAGGATGGCTTAGGGTTTTTCGGGGTTTAGGGGGGGGCCTTCGGCGAGTTTCCGAGACTCCCACATGGCTTTACATACAGGGCCCTCCGCACAAGTCCAGCAGCCCTTGGAATAAATACCCACCCCCCCGGAGGTTGTTTCGTCGAGGGTCTCTTGGGGATAAAAAAACCTCTGGCCGTGTCCGGGGTCCGTAGCAGAAAAAAGGAGTAGCAGAAATCACGCAGAGGCCTCAAGAATAGCTGTCGCAGTTCCTGGAATCCGGAGTCCCTGGCTTCATGCGAAAGCTTGCTGCTCTCGAAAGCTTGGAACTTCTGTCGGATCTGCGCTGCTTGCCGAAGCGTGGAGTGAAAAGTCTCTGGAACTGCATTCTGCCAGCTGGGCTTTAGGTCGAGGCTTCCTTTCCTTGCCTTCTCCTGAAGCCAGGCCCTAAAGTATTTTTGGGAACTCGAGCCCGGAATATCTTAATTGTCACCCCTTTATAGATATCACCGGCATCCCAACATCAACTGTTTGGCCGGATCTGGGTGCGCAATTTAGAGTAGTCTTGCACCGGGAAAGTTTGGGCCAGGGAATCGCTTCATTGTCACCCGATGAATTCCTGTCACCCCACCGTTAGAGATTCCGAGTCGTCACGGGTAGATGGAGGGATGTTGAGGCTTCAGGGTTCAAGTCCTCGTGTCCCGGCTGTGGGCGGGGGGCTCTCCTAAACCCTACATAAACCCGAAGGAAGGGCCCAAGTACTTAATAATCATAGCTGATATACCTTCCCAGGGTGTTGCGCAGGTCCCCATGAGAAGGATCCTACCAGGTTGCATTGTACGTTTCTAAAAAGGCCCTTTTAAAGCAGCCGTTTTACTGTTGCCGGATGTCTGGCGACGTCAGAACCTTGTCGCCAAAAGCCCCCACAGCCCAAGGGGACTCAAACTTACCAATTAGGCTCCAAACCCTAACTCAAAACGAGACTCTTGATGTGTCTGAGGACATCTTGTAGATTCATCATGGCGGCTGTGGCGATCAACACGAGGCCCTTTCAACTGAAAGTTTGGTGTTGTCGGAGCAGTATCCCCATGGCAGAGTGCACAGCGAAGAGCAGCTTTGGGCACCAGAGCTGTGACTATGACACTGATGTCAGAAGTGAATTTTGCAGTTGTAGATGTCAGGGTTCATCGTTACAGTCGTGGTATTCCTGAATTTCGGCTTCTTTGCACAGGTTTTCACTGCCCTGGCAAGTGCTCCTTTCTTTGGGTCAACTTTGGGCGGATTTCAATGCGCCGCCTGGCATCAGGTGGACGGGTTTCAGGGTCTTGGGCTCTCAGGGTTTAGGTCAGAGGTCAGAGGCAAGGGTGCAAACATTGCGGCAGTAGTTCTTCTGATCAGAGTGCAGTGGGTCGAAACGATTGAGCAAGTGGCGAAGTCTGAGGTTGTTTTGTTCGCAGGTTTGTTGGTCACAGGAGTATCGCAAAGCCGTAAGCCCCAGCAATTGAAGGCGATACACATATGATTGAGTTTAGGGCTTAGGGTTCTCATAAGATTTTTCAGGAAAGGCGAACCTTTCACGCCTGATTGGTGGTTCCTGTGCTCCAAGGTCTGAAGTCATTCATCAAGCGGCGCATTGATATCAGTACTAATCATAGTAACAATATTAATAGTAATACAAATGTTTTTTACATGTATTCTTCCCTTGGTACCAGAAGCATATCCGTCCTGATGGCAGGGCGATGCTTGTCTAGAAACATGTTCCGGCACGCTGCACATGCCTTCGGCCGCTTGTGGTTATTCCGCAACCAACGTACAGAGCTCGGTTTTGGATCTTCGATTTCGTTGAAGCCTACCGCTACTCTCGGGCCTGTTCTGCCCTCCTGGGCTGGAGTCAGGGATATGGCGTAGCCTGGCCTCATCAGGGCGGCTGCGTAGTAGGCAATGAGCGGCTCGCAGCAAACAATTAAGACAAGAAGTGCGTAAGAAGTATGCTGGTAAGTATAAGCTAGTCAGAGTTCGGTAGAAGGTAGTTTGCGATATGTTCGTCAGTCCGGTGGTCAGTCCGCTTGTTAGTCAGTTATGTTGTTGTCGTCGTGCTGGTAGTAGCGGTCATTGTTGCTGTTGTAGTAGTAGTAGCAGAAGCTGCACCAGCCGCAGCCGGAGTAGTAGTTGGCAGTGCTAGAGGTTACTGGCACCAAGAGTGGTGGCGTTGCCACTTGCAGAACGGCTTTATGATACCAGCTTTCCAGCTCTGAGGCCTTCAGGAGTCCGCCATCCGGCCTTTAGCATCTTTCTGCAGGGCGTCGTGCTGGGCCTGACCATCCTCGGGCCAGCCGGCAGCAGCATGGATGCTTGAAATTGAAGTCAAACATGATGTGGTTCTCAGCCAGCCCGGCAGAGACAAAAAGAGCCAGCGCAACGGCGTTCATGCTCATGAAAGCTTCCTTTTCATCCCGCCGAAAAAGTGTTGCGCACCTTCTCAATATATCAATATGACTATTTGGAGTGGCGGGGACAAAACGTTCTGACATTTCAGAGGCAAACGCTCGCGTTGTCATCTTGATGCTCGCATACACAGTCCGTTAGGGTTGAATGTCCGCGCTCGTGTTTTGTCTGCAGCAGTTTTTGTTTGAGTAAGTCTCCCTATTCGTGCGTGCGTGCGCGGCCGGCGAAACCAAGTCACAGCGTGCTGGGTGTGGCTGGCCGGGGCTTTTCGGTTGCATGGACGTATACATACATGTGCGAGCCGACTTCCTCAGATTGTCGAAGACAGGATGTCTGAGGAATCCTGCTGCGCTTAGTCACGGCGTGCTTCGCTGCGGAGATGGATTCCGATATCAAGAAGCTAAAGTGGAAGGTGTAGGAAGAACATCATGACAGAAATTTGCATGTGGATGTTGTGTTCCAAGGTCACACACCCTGGAGACTTGCGTGCGTTCCAATATTCGCGCGCAGTTCCATTGCTCGGATGCAGAGTCGTTGATGTACAGCTTCCGCGGAATGCTGCGGGGGATCTGCGATGGTGAGGCGCTTCTGGACAGTAACCTTCGCATCCACGTCGTCTCTGACTGCCTGAAGCATCTGCTCTTGACCAGCACCAACTTGCATGGCAAGTCCTTCCAGCAACTGCTCGACCCAGAAGATTTGGAGAAGTTCCGACAGTTCATACAGGCTTCGGCATCGAACATCCCGCCGAATATGAGTACACCACACATGCCGCCTTGCCTACGAGTCACGTTGCTGGGTGCGGCCAGCACACGGATCGCCGTGGATCTTTTCCATGTTCCCATATCCAAGTTACCAGGCAGGCAAATGAGTATCGTTTCCATTTCGTGGTTGGGTTTACTGTGTCTGACTATTGTCCTGTCTTGTCTGCTAGATTTTGCTGATGCCCGTGCTTGACAATCGAGGCTTTACGGATCTCATGATCCCTACCACCTCATCGCACTGAAGGCCTCGGGAGCGAAGGCACGCGATTTGAGCCGAGAGTTCTCTGCCCTTCCTGCCCTCCAGGAAGATTCCGAGTCCCGAGCGCCACCAGCAGCCTGGCCTGCAACGGTTCAACGTACGTGCAGTTCTTGGTGGGTAGGAAGAAGCAGAGCAGTAATCCTAGTCGTAATAGCAATAGCAACAATAGTAGCAAGACTAAGTGGGCCTTGCTACGTTGTTCTTTCTCATGAAACAGATTCGGGTTCGTGTAACATGGCATGATGATGGTCCTGAAGCTGATGAGGGTCGGGAAGAGGAGGACGACGAAGGGGAGCCGGAAGATGACGATGGTGAAGACGAGGGGATGATAATGATTCATACTGATTGAATTATGATTTGGGTACTGCCCCCACTCTGCAACAGTTTAACAGTTGGATTATATTTGTGTTATATACAACCCTCATTCTGACGTCTAATATAGACTGCTAGGGTGGGGTCTGTACCCAATTTCTGTTGATGACGAAGACGATGATGTCCATCACAGGCGTTTAGGTGGTAGCGGTTGTGGCTGCAGGCACCAAGAAGGAAGGGAGAGACAACACCAGGAACGAAGGAAAAGCCGGCTAAACGGGCAGGTTTGGATACGCTCCGCAAGCGGCCCTGGGAGTTTCAATCAAAAGAGCGGTCAGCGCAAGACCCGAAAATTCTGAAACCCCAACGCGTAGTCCCACAAACCTGAAAACCGGTAAGCCCCAAACCTCTACAGATATACATACATACTGCACAAATAGTCAAAAGACTTAGATCTTTCAAAGAGCATAGCAGTACGTCATATTAAACCCATGAATCATTAACAAACATTATAAGGAGCAGAGCAAAGCCTAGAAACCCTAAACCCCTGGCCAAGAAGAAAGAATAGCCTTCTCTATCGGCCCAGGAGTCAAGGATGGCCGGGCCAGAGTTTCAGGCAGAAAGGTTTAGGGTTTAGAGGTCTTGCATCCTAGAGCCAGGCTTGACGTTTCGAATGCCTTGAGAGAGAGAGGGAGAGAGAGAGAGAGAGAGGGTTTAGTCAGGGGATTAGGGTTTGAAAGGACATGTAGAAGGCTGGTTTTTTTGGGGCGCCTTCATGGGCTCTACAGGGGTCTTTGGGGGGCATTCTATTTACGGGTTTACATGGGTTTTAGAGCGGGGGCTGGGGGGCTTGAGGACTTTAGGGTTCAAGGGTGGCCTTAAACTTTGTGGGTTGTTTGGGTGTTCCGTGTAGGGCTTTATACTGCGATTCGGGTGATGAAGTTTCGGCCTGGCGGCAGGAATAGCCTTCGTTTCCGGGTTTAGAGCTTGAGGCTTTAAGGCTGTTCAGTTTCAGGTTAGGTCCAGGTTGCAGTGGCGCAGGGAGTTTGGAATGATTTGGTCTCCTGGTATTTCGGGATCGCCACTGAGTAGTACCTGATTTGCAAGGGTTGACGGTTTAGGGCTTAGGGTTTAGGGCCTTTTAGGGTTTAGGGAGCTTTGCTTGCAAGAGTCCTGGATGCAAAAGGGAGCTTTTGGAGGGCAGTGCTGAGTGGCATTTGGAAACTGTCGTGTTGTGTGCTTCATGGGCATTGGCCGTAGTTCCTTATGGGGTCGGAAGTTTCCTGTTTCTTCGAGTAGAACCTTACATGTATTCTTTTGATCACCACACTATAACCAAAGCAAGAATACTATGATTTTCTCGTGGTCCCAAGCCCAACAGCACAAAGCGCCTGTGCCATACGTTGCAACCTTAAGAGGCCGCAGCGTGCACTCTTTAGAAGACCCGGAGGGAGGGTCATATGGGAGATTCCGAAAATACGGGGGTACCATATTTTGGGCTCCTTGTCATATGGATCCTACTATTTAGGGTACTATACTAGGGTCTCCTATTTTCGGAAACCCTCATATCACATGGTCACGACTTCAACGCCAGAAGAAGCGCAGAAGAACGCCCGGGCCTGAACTTGAAACCCTAAACCCTCCCAGAGTTTCCGAGTGCGAGCACCTAAATCTGAAACCCCAGACAGAGAGTCAAGAAGCAGCCTTGAACCCCAAACCCGAGAAGCTGCCGCAGGTCGCTCAGCCACCCAAGCTGTCTCGCACGGACAGCGATGGATCTGCGGCCACGGGCACGGGCCTTCAAGGCGTGGTTGAGGGCCATCCGCCAAGTCTGAACCATTTGTATTGACTACTAGATTACTAGATTTTCTAGGATGCGAACCAGTGTGGCGACGGTCCATGGCTTTGCCGGACTGCATAGCTGGCACTTGCATTGGCGCTCCGGGTCCAGATCACAGCCGACGCTGTGCAATGGCACATCAACACAACAAGGCATGCCTGCATGAAGCCGACGCCACGGGTCCCGACAAGCTCGAGTGTAATAGCAACATCGGAGACCGACGGAGGCGAGCGTCAAACTCTAGAAGCTCCAGGAACCTGCAGAAAAAGGGCCCCAACCGAAAGGCGAAATCGACAGTAGGCAGAGAAAAGAGCGTCTTCGGCTTAACGGATCCATCGCACTGCAACCCCTTCCGATGGCTCTACGCCTGGGTCAGGTCTCTTCCATGAGCTAACGGAGATGAGCCTCCTCGTCGCCACTCGGGCACCGCCTTTGGCTTTCAGAGTTTGGCGCTTCAGGCAAACGGCTGTGGATCGGGATTCATGGCTCCAGATCCAGGGTTTAGCATCAGGCTGGGTTGTGAAGTCGCTGAGCGTCAAGACTTTCGAAGAGGAAGGCGGCCAGCAACGCAAACCAGGTGCCCCTTTCACTAAGGTAGGCCAGAAGTTGGAACAGTAGCAACTCCTTTGCCCACCACAAACTGGTTCCCAGGATGGATCGACACCTTTCTGCGACGTAGCCGGGCAGCAGACGAAGATTGCTTCGGGCACGCTGGGGTCGGCTTCCGGCGAATAGCAATCCGCGACGGAGAAGACGTGCATAAACCTGACATTTCGGCATAATGATAATCATGGTGATGTTGAGGATGATCATGATGATGATGCTGATGATGATCCTTATTCGCATCATGATGATGATTACCATTCCTCTTATGTTCTGCTTGCTACTGTACTGATGCTAATTACGATGCTCATGGCTATTCCTATCACTGTTACTCTGATGTGCTCTGCGAGGTGCGGCAGGTGATCCTCCGGTTCCGGCACAGCCCCCTGTCGCAAATTCCGAGTCTCCGCACCATGGTCTTGCCGACTCAGTGGGTGGCTTGGCAGCGATAACATGGGTAGCGATAAACAGTAGTAGTAGTAGTAGTAG